AGCATGGCAAAGTAAAAATGTACAAGAATAATGACTAATCACAGGAACAAAAATATTCTTATTCTATGTATGTATAACGTTCTACTAACTATTCTTTATTTTCCCAGAAGAATTTTGATTTTTCTCCACTTTTTTGTACAATTATACTTCCATACAGAATGGAGCATCTTTGATGTGAGGTTATATCACGTAAAGATCATTGAATCCTAGTTCGACAAGAATTCTTTTGAGTTTCTCGTACAATTTATTTCGTACAGCAAGATTTTACATCTATATTAATTCGAAAATACAACCACGTGTACAATAACGATTTAATATTATGCAATATATATAGCAGCTGCAGGTATGAGTAATTCAATTATTTTTAACTTGAAAATCGAGCGTGAAAATTTGATCGAATACTTTTGCACCTTTCGAATGTGAGTTCGATAGAAAATAATGTATTTTTAATCGGATAAAATGTACAAATGCGGAGAATTAATTGCGTGTATTTTAAACACATTCAACAATCGTAAATCGAACGAAATCTAAGTAAAAGAAACGTAATGCGTAATGGGTTGGTGTTCGTTCACGAGAAAAATGATAAGTTTTCACCTTATGGTCGATTTTCTGATGACTTTTACGTATCTACGGACGAGAAGTTTCTTCTACGCACGAAGTTACGGGAAAGTGCTCGCGGTGCTTCGGTTTCGTCCGGCTTCTGTCATACGAAGCGCGGCAAATTCGAACGTTGAGAACGATTCTTCAAATTAATGTCGATTTCTATAATGGAATCCGATTCAATTTCGGGGCCATAATTCCGGACTGCGCAAAGGTTCGTTTGCGTGTGCATTGGCTCATGTGGTGCGGATGCGTCGCGTCACTTTATCGCCGTAAATGAAACAATACCGAACACTTTCGAAGCTGCACGAGCTCTTCCGTTTGCCTGTGGCGCGCCAAACATACCTACAACGATATCGCGCAGCTTACGGCATCGTAGCAGACGATTATTTTAGTCAAAAGACCGACCTTTCACTATTTTATTTTTATAAAATTCAACACTTCCAACTTTCCTTGAAACAACGACATTGTAAAAATGCTGAAAAATTTGTTCTCATATAAGAACACGGAGGCGAAAGTATTTAAACGTAATTTTATTCCAGCAATATTTTTCGAGTCACCGGAAGTAGGTAATGAGCTTTAAATATTAATCTTATCGTTTATTAAAACGCTTCCAATTACTATTTAAAGAGTGTCATACTAAAAAGTTCCCTTTAACATACTTTAGTATTAATTCTCCTCCGAATTCAAATTCAAATACCTCTACAATATTCAAATTCAAATATTAGGAAACACCAATCGTATTTTCATCTACTTTTACCAATATTATCATGCATAGATCTAACTTAATTCTAATTTCTGTATTAAGTTATTTTTTTTTTATAAAATATTGTGTATGGATACTTATAGTGCCTAATACTTCATTTTAAGCATGTACAATATGCGCCTGCAGGTGCAAGACTGATTTATTTCCAATAATGACCCCGGGGGGTACATCCGCGAATATAAGGTAAAAATGTGCGTTTACAGGACCACTATCTCTCGATTTGTAGCATTTCCAATGTGATCTGCAATGAAACGCGTTCGCGGGCTGGACGAGGTAGCATCACCAGCAGCAGCAACATTAAAGCACTCGTCAGTGAGTGCAGGAAGTGGCTTAGGTGGCGGAGGAGGTGGTTTGGAGTATCATTCAAGCAGTGGAATAGGCGTTGTTGTACCTGGCCAAGCAGTTCGATCAGTTACTTCGAAAGAAATGCCGGGAAGTATACAATTCGGAAGTGCCCAAGCTCAACAGCAATACACTGGAGCAATTGTTGTGCCCACCGCGGCTCCGTCCCCCATTAAGGTGCGTTACCCTTATTATACCGACGACTATCACTAAAGTAATGACTGATATCTTTTATATTCATTTTTCTAAATTTTTTTTCCTGTATTTTTAACCCTTTCCTTAGTTGTTGATGAATATAAAATTTTGATCGGAACTATAATCAGCATACAGCGAGCACTTAAGCTCTACAAGCTGAGAGACGACTATCGTTACCTTTCGTAAGGAGAGGGTTAATTTTTATATTTTTTTTTATTATCTCCATATAATTGTTCTTCGCGGAATACAAATATAGAGAACCCGATGTTGCGGCGAATGAAATTAATCCGCTTAAAAGCGAACCGTCGAATTAAATGTCCGCACGGTATGCTTTTGTAATTGGCGCGTTAGTAGATTTGGTTTCGTAACGTAATTCCCGTCGTTTGATCCGAGTTTGTTTAAACATACACACACACACACATACATACAAGTTTTGAAATTGTTGTTCGTGATACAGTATCTTACTAACGCGCTACCCGTTACGTTGTTTTGTGTTGTAAAATTATGGTCAATTTCGTGTGTTCAGCTTTGTTTTAATGATCCGATAATGCTTTGTCCATGTCGCGAATATATTTTTGCAATTGTTGTGTATGTTTTTTCCAGGGAAGTGGATCTGCAGGACTTAGTACTACGTGTAGCAGTAGCAATGTAAATACTGGTGGAGGGTTGCATAGTGGGATAGGTGGTGGGAGTAACCATAGTATGGGTTCTCAACAACCTGCACCAGGAACACAAAGTCAAGTTCACAGCCAGCAACAACCAACAATAAGGCACAAGGTTCATATTTAAGTAACATGTGATATGATAACAATTTATGAATAATGAAAATTTTCAAATCTCCTGGTACCTTTCTGATTACACATGTAAAGATATATTCATGAATCTAGTATCTAAAGCTCTGCGTACAGTAATTGGAATAATGATAGGGTCTGCTGTTCAAATAATTATCTTTATCCCACATATTATTCCAGTCACTGTATAACGTTTTTTGAGTTTTCTGTAAACGGAATCTCATAGAAATGTTATTATTCCGTTTGTAGGTCCACTCTGGCAATGTAATGTCACTAACTTCTACGCCGCCGGGCTCTAGTCTAGGTGGTGGTAGTGGGTCCCAACAGTTTCAGAGATTAAAAGTAGAGGATGCATTGTCTTACTTAGATCAAGTCAAGTACAAATTTAATGATCAGCCACAGGTATATTTCAGATGATACTAACAGTAACGTTTCCTGCCTTCAGAAACTTCATCAGTTTCACTAACTATATTGTTTCCTTGATTGTAGGTGTATAATGACTTCTTAGATATTATGAAAGAATTTAAGTCGCAGAGTATAGACACTCCAGGAGTTATAACACGAGTGAGTAATTTATTCAAAGGACACCCCGAGCTTATCGTTGGTTTCAACACATTTCTTCCACCTGGATACAAAATAGAGGTGCAAGCAAATGAGCAAGGATACGCTTTTCAAGTATCCGTCAGTATGCCGAGTCCCACACCTACCCTGTCGCAACATTGCACTGTCAATGTTGGTTCGCCTCCAATAGCGAGTCCACCGACACAACCAGCAAAAGCTCCCCCCGTTTTACAAATAATGCACGGGTAAACTATTGATATTTTGTGACTCGTTTTACTGGTGTATCATCCAAAAAATTAATAAGCGATTTTTCCTTAAACTAGGTCTGGGAATATACACCAATCTCACATCTTAAATAACAATTCCAACAGCAGTTTAACAGTGCATGCACCATCACCACCACCGGTGCAGACGTACAACAATTCACATGTTAGTGCAGCACAAGCTCAGGCTGTGAGCCAAGCATTGAGTCAGGCCCAGGATGGTATAGCCACTAGTGGACAGACACAACAAAGCCAGCCAGTTGAATTCAACCATGCAATCAATTATGTTAACAAAATCAAGGTTTGCATCCAGTCAAAAGAATAAAGCAATGCTACAATATGTGAAACATTTTTTCATTTTGAACATTTTTTGTTGAAATCTTAGAATCGTTTCCAAGGCCAACCGGATAAATACAAACGGTTTCTAGAAATTTTACACACCTACCAGAAAGAGCAACGTAATTTAAAAGAGGCTGGGCACTTGGGTGGCACGAGTGGGTCCGGTGGGACAGGTAGTGCGAAACACTTAACGGAAGCAGAGGTTTACAGTCAAGTTGCCAAACTGTTCGAGAACCAAGATGACTTGCTTGCCGAGTTTGGACAGTTTTTACCGGACGCCACCAATCAACAGAGCTCACTGGTGAGTGACACAGAACATGCAATGCTCACAGCAAGGACAAATCAGAAATCTGATGCGTCCATGCTGTGATCAACATCTCCCCGAATCTTGTCTTTATACCGGCGAACTCTGATTGGTATTAGTCTGTTATGTTTCAGAGTAACAAGACTGCTACTGTTAACGATCATACTACAATCGTGAAGAAGCCTATGGGACCTAAGGTACCCTACAACAATTCGGGAAACATATCTCGGGAACTTCGGGAGTCCAGCGGCACTGGCACAGTGGAACGTGAAAGTCGCGACCACAGAGATCGTGAACGAGAACGGGACAGGTCTGGCGTGCGGGACATCAACAGTGTGCAGAAATTCGTGCACAACACGGGACAGTTAAAGAGGAGTCCGTCATTCTTGCCTTCTGTAACAGCCGGCAATTCTCACCACATACAGCATGGCCCACCACCATTGAAGAAACACAAAGTGTCCTCCATTCGCGAATGCGTTACCATAGCAGAGGCTGGCAAATATGGCAGTTTGAACGACTATGCGTTCTTCGATAAGGTTGGTAATCTCTATTTGCAAGTATTCGTACTTAATTTTAATTGTGGGTGTCAAAAATTACTTCAAGGTCATGTCATTAATATTTCTGTATGCATTTGAATGTACTTTCTAGGTTCGGAAAGCGTTAAGGTCTCAAGAAGTATATGACAATTTTCTGAGATGCCTGGTCCTATTCAACCAAGAAATAGTTTCCAAATCTGAATTAGTGCAGCTGGTAACACCTTTTCTTGGTCGCTTTCCTGAACTGTTACGGTGGTTCAAAGATTTCCTGGGACATTTGCCCGAGTCTTCGACTGCCACTACAACCAACGCGTCCAGCAACATGAACGTTGAAGCGTTACCAAATAACGTCGTAAGAAGTCATCAAGACCGTCCTCAAGGTGATCTCGCCATGGAGATCGACTATGCGGCATGTAAACGTCTAGGAGCGTCGTATTGCGCGTTACCAAAGTCTTACGTTCAACCAAAGTGTACAGGCAGAACGCAGTTGTGTAAAGAGGTTCTCAACGACACATGGGTGTCGTTTCCGACTTGGTCCGAAGACAGTACATTTGTAACATCGAGGTTTGTATTTCTGTTGTCATGTACAGGGTGTTCACACTTTTCTAATAAAGTCCATTTTTCAATGACCAATAAATGCGTGAACACCTTGTGTTTACTTGTATCTATGGTGAATACGTATTTTACATAATTCTTTATTGAAATTAATATAGGAAAACTCAATACGAGGAATTTATCTACCGTTGTGAGGATGAAAGATTCGAGCTGGATGGTGTAATAGAAACAAATGCGTCCACGATCAGGGTACTCGAAGGTGTTCACAAGAAAATGAGTAGAATGAGCCAGGAAGAGCTGCAGAAGTTCAAGCTCGACGATTGTCTCGGTGGTTGTTCTCCTACGATTCATCAAAGAGCCTTGAAGAGGATATACGGCGACAAGGCTGCCGATATCATAGAAGGCCTTAAGAGGAATCCCGTGGTGGCGGTACCTGTGGTTCTCCGACGATTAAAAAGTAAAGAAGAAGAATGGCGGGAGGCTCAAAAAGGTTTCAACAAAATCTGGAGAGAACAGAACGAGAAATACTATTTGAAATCCCTGGACCATCAGGGCATCAACTTCAAACAAAGCGACGTAAAGGCGTTAAGATCTAAAAGTTTATTTAATGAGATCGAGACATTGTATGACGAGAGACACGAACAAGTGGACGATGGCGCCGGAGACGGGCAAAATAATAGCGGTCCACATCTTGTGCTACCCTATAAGGACAAATCTGTTTTGGATGATGCAGCTAATCTTCTAATTCATCACGTAAAGCGTCAGACGGCCATCCACAAAGAGGACAAGCAACGAATAAAGCTTTTATTGAAGCATTTTATACCTGATCTTTTCTTTCATCCACGTCAAGAACTCAGCGACGATGAGAGAGACGAAGACGGTAAGTAAAGTTCTTTAATTTGTTCTGTGTTCCTTTTTTTAAAGTATGTACATCTGTTGGACAGATCAAAATTTCATATTCTTTTTTAATGCTACTAAATTAGACATTTTGATTGTCGGCGCTTCTAGCGTTAAGAAAATGTATTTGATAAAATGATGCCATACGATTCATATGATTTCAACAGATGAAAAAGAAGACTTGAATGTGGCAGCGTGTAGTAATTCTCAATCAGTGACAATGAATACTTCGCCGTTGGGTGGTGGGCTCCAAGCGAATAGGAATAAGGCGCCAGTGTCTCCAATTCCGTCTTCCACGTCGATTAAAACCGAACCAGACATTAAATTACCCATCCATGCCTTGTCGAATGATCCCGAGGAAGCGTACACACTCTTCATGGGTAGTAACAATTGGTACCTCTTCTTGAGGTTACATCATATCCTCTGTGAAAGATTAACAAAGATGTACGAGAGGGCTGTCGCACTTGCTGAAGAGGAGTCGCGGTACAAACAGCAACGGAAGGAGAGTACAGCTGTTGCTTTAAGATTAAAACCCAAAAGTAAGTGATACATTGGTTCTTCATGTGCAAAAGTATAGTTAGGATCCTATGTATAATAGGACTACTATTTTTATTTCCACCATGTAGGGGGGAGGGGTCCCTTGTAATATATTTGATACATTTAATTATAAACTAATGTAATATATTTGATACAGACGAAATTGAAATCGAGGATTACTATCCTGCATTTTTGGATATGGTTAAAAATGTCCTAGACGGTAACATGGAGAGCACCGCTTACGAGGATACCTTGCGGGAAATGTTTGGAATCCACGCGTATATTGCCTTCACGTTAGACAAAGTTGTAACATATGCTGTGAGACAAGTGAGTATACATCTTTCGTATTATTGAATATGTAGAAGTATATTGCTTGGAGGACGCTAATCTTCAAACGAAACTGTGAAATGTTTAGTTACAGCATTTGGTTTCGGATCCTATATGCCAACAATGTATGGAATTGTTTCAACGAGAACAAAGACAACCAAAAGAAAGCAATGGTGCGGGTGGTTTATGCGCTACCGCATACATGAGACTTGGTGCAGAAATGGCGTATCAACGTAAAGCTGAGAAAGCCATGGCAGATGAGAATTGTTTTAAAATATATATAGTAAGTATATAAAATTAATACAATTTCTATTAAATGCTAAGCCTAGTTTTTCAATAAAAAAACATTTTTTTGACTGCCTATCCGCAATTTAGAAGCATGCATTGGATGTGAATAAAATTTTGAAAGAGTTTTACTATGCAGGTAATGGATGTTGCGAAAATATAAATTTTCCTTGTTACAGTATAAAAAGAACTGCAAAATGACAATGGAATTATTGGATACGGAAGGTGATGAGGCGATGGACAACAGTTGTAGGGAAAGAGAAAGGGAAGGAGTTACAGTATCTGAAAAATGGTCTACGTATGTTGAGAGGTTTTCTGCTCCAGCTGGTCAGACTAGTCCGAAAGACACCCCCACCTTAACAGACAATGAGCCGACAACCAATCATCCTGTGAGTAACGACCAGGCAGCAAGGGGGGGGAGGGGCAGAAAGCGCAAGAACACTGACATTAGCAAGAAGGTATAGGATCCACATCCCTTTTCATAAATCATTGCCAACGTTCAAGTTTACGTTCATTCGTACTTTGATGTCTGTGATTGGAGTTGTACCGTTACCATTCAGTGTACAACTAAATGTTCCAAAGAACGAAAGTTTCTTATCAAAACTTTCTTCTCTGTATTATTTCGTGTGATCGTTATTTGATACGTAAAGGAGGCATTCGTGAATCTTCAATTATTATTCCACAAAATCAGTCTTCAAATGAATCTTTGTTGACTTCCTTACAAACGAACAAAACAGAAGAATATTTTAGAAATCAAAAAATGTTGCAGCATACATATATATGTGTATATACGTACATATGTATATATGTATATATATATATATATATATATATATATACACATATGAGATACATACGTATATATACATATATGTATATGTATATATCTCGGTTGTTTGCTAATACGAGGAAGCTACATATGGTCATGATCTGCTATCACCAACGCTTTATTATGCGAATGAGGTCAGAGCACTGGTTCACATACTTGTCGTTGCATAGAAATCGCAGAAGTTTGTATACATATAAACAGAATGAACTAATATTCTTTTAATCGCAGAAAATGAAAAACCGGAGGTCATATATATTTATTTTCGTAATATTTAAGGAGATAAGAGAAGTACATGATTTCCATCTCAGTGCGTCTAACGTGGTGCTGTAAATTAAGTGAAAATTCTCGCAAGATAGTGCACTACACAAACGAAATCCCTCATTTTTTATTCTATATAATATATTCGCTCACACTTTTGGTGTGTTTGCTACACCATTAGACGTTATATAACGAGTTATAAATTATATTTCTATATTTTAAATATCAACTTATTATAGGACAACGATAATCTGAGTAGTAATTCTTTCAAATTTCCAATACTGAAAATTGTCAAAAGCATTCACAAACATGCTACCGCTGTTGCTGTATCGATCGTCGATTTTCTGTAATTGCTTTGCTTCATCGTTTTTTTTGTACGATGTGCACAGCTTCTAAGTTGACTTGTTGGTCCGTGTAATCATTCTCCAGGATTTTCCTTTTCGATGTGGTGATATTTTTCTTTTATTCGGTGTTATTATTGTTATATGCTTTTAGGGTCGATAAGTATTTAAAATACATTTCGATGGTTGAGCGCACGATGTTTGAACTAACACTAAAGTTCTATGTTTTTTCTTGTTTTATTTTTGTCTATTTAAATTTTATCTTAATATTAATATTTATTTATCTCGTGGTTATCCAAGGACGTTCTTGTTTATTTTATATTTATGTTTCTAAAAATTAATTTTATTCATCCTGATACGCAAGGAATCACAGAAGCTTTTAAAGCTTACAAAGGTAGAGATTTCAAGATTCATTGAAAATGACTTGCTTTCATGTTGAAAACATGATAGACGTGAAGTGAAATTAGTCAGGTCAACGAAGTGAGAACAAGGAAAAATTTTATGTGTACATTAATCGTACTATCCATTATCGTACTATCTCCGTAATTGCACACCTCGCGCGTTTCATTAGAAGAACAGAGGCTAAAGCTAAACTAGAAAGACGTAGTTGTGGGAGTGAACTAGTAGTGACAAAATAACGTGTAACATGGATCGAAAAAAATGTACAAACGAAGCAGTTAAGGGGACACGGCATACACAAATGAAGTCATACGAGTAGTGCCATAATGAATTGTAAAAAAAAAGAAAATTACATTAGTTTAAACGAACGTAACATTTGATATCGGTCAATTCTTAATGTTTCTTTCATTTTCATCACACTTATTAATTATAACTAGATAAGATCGTAATTCCTAGAATTTATAAATGAGATAGAATTTAAAAAGGAATGTAAATATTTGATATAAATTTGTACATATGTTTTTTGATACGCAAACATAGGTCGTCTGGTAGTGTACATTACGAACTTGTAAAATTCTACTATTCACTGTCATATTCGGATCGTTAGTGAAGCCTTTGGAAATGTAATATGGATATCGACTAGCGAGCACATATTACATCCACGTCACATTCTGTCCATGCAGTAGTTCCAGTCATTACAGTTGTTCATCTTTCTTAAGTCCAACAAAATTTCTCGTCGGAAACAACAAATGTGAAAAGACGATGCATAATTACCATGGCACATAACATTGCACTTCAATGCACTTTGAGCACATTCAAACGGATAAGTCATACTTCCTCATGAATATCCGATAAGATCTTTATCATCCAATTGGGGTATGTTAACAGTACATTTAACACGTTGGCGACCAACTTGGCAGTTACAAAAATTCGATAAAATTAAAATTACTTATTTAATGATACAAAAAGTCAAGAATTTATTATACTAATTACTCTGCTCAATCTATTAGTGCAGCTATTATCACATTGGACGAATAATTTTCTTATGGTAGTCACCGTGTTAAATTCTATAGAACTTAGGTGTTGAGATCATTTCTTGAAATGGTCATTGATGACTTTTGGTCGAATTGGATTAATTGCTCATAAAGTATAAAAGTTACTGCAATATTTTTTGTTACGTTCTCAGGACCAAGTTGACTGGTTTGACGAATGTGACAGTAGCAAACTAGAACTGGAAATACTGTATCATGGCGTGGATCAAGCGTGTTCCTGGCTCAAACTGTTACATCATTGTGAATCATGTATTATAACTTATAACACTTTGCTGTGTATATATTAATGTAATAAGTAGCGAAGCAAAGTTTATATACTGTAGCATGTAAATAGAGAGTCACTTCATTCACAGCTTCGTTTGTGGCACGTAACAGTATAAAACGTCGATATCTTATGGGAGACAGTTCGAATATTTGCCAAAGGTTTCACGGTTTCAGCTCGTTTCGGTTTAATGCAATTGCTTTCGCACGAGAAGGTCCTTTTTTTGGTACTCCTAAATGAATTTTCATTTGTGTAATTTTATATCCTTCCCTCGAGGGAAGTACGGAGTTCTATTTTGGAGATATCAATCTCATTTTCAGTGATAAGAATTGTTAATAATTACAGAGTTAGCTGGTGTGTCTGCCTCGGTATCGCCGTCGAAGTAATTTTGATTGAAACGATCACTCATTACTTGCTATAGGTCTCGACGATTTTGTGAGCTTGTCGATTTCATGTTTGAAATGTGCTTTTTTTTTTTAAACAGAAATAAAACCTATGTCACGTTTAACAAATCGTATTAGGTGTTCTTTTTAACAAGTCATTGATAAAATGTCCTGCTAATTTTATTGTTTGACGTCGAGATATATGTTTTTATATATTTTATTAGGCAACAGGTACTCCGTTTCTTAGTTTCTCTTCGTTATAGTGTTTTGTACAGTATATATATTACATATACTTTTGTGACCAGAGTGAATTTTCGGATGACAGTGTCGCAATGTTGTTTCCTCCATTGAGAAAAAAATAACACCATCGTATTTTGTACAAAATGTAAACATGCATTTTTCTCACAAAGCTCTGCATTACGGAATTTT